GTTTGCTTTCCTGAAAACGCAGCGTCCTGGCAGAGAGTCAGGAGAGTCCGAAAGGGCCGGGCAGGCTGCAGCGTTTTGAGACAGGAGCTGCCGCCCCGCCTCCAGCAGCAGGAGCCTCGCTGCCCTGAGCTGCTTCAGCGGGGGGCACCATGCAAAGGGCTCTCTGCCGAGACTGGCACAGCATCAAGGCAGCACAGAGGGAGGGCAGAGCTTGCTTTCCCTGTCCCCATCCCCGTGCTGCGTGCCCCTTGCCTGCAGGAGGAGATCCAGGCCTTTGGCTCGCCTGCTCTCCTGCAGTCTCTGAAAGCAATGGCACTTGCAGAGACGGTTTCCTAGTGCCGTTCTGGGGCGTTTGTCTGCATCGCCTCGCTGGGTTGCCTCCACCAAGGCTGCCTCGTCAATCTCTAAAGAGCGAACAAAACCTCCCAAAGCATCGCCTAGCCTGCGTCTACACACAAACACCCACACCACCGACAGTGATTGGAGGCTGCCTTTCTGTCCGCTTTTGCCTCATGGGCACAAAGAGGAGAAACAAACCTGGGTCCGCACGCAGACAGAAAGAGGAGAGTCCCTGCCGAGGTTGTGCTGGGGCCGTGTTGCTCCCAGCCCAGGGCTGCCTGAAGACGGCTGCATGACAGATGTGGGGAGCTCTGGTAGCTGAATCACTGGGACGCAGCTCTGCGGTGCGAGTCGCTCGTGCGCGCACCAGCTCCGCAGGCCGAGAGAAACACTCCAGGTTGCGTTTCACAGAAAGCACGCTCCCTGCCTACGGGATCAGGGGCATGAGAACACAGCCCCTCCAGTCCAGGGGCAAATACTGCATCTCAGCAGAACGTTACAGCCCAAAAGGAGGACGAGTGGTCTGCATACTCAGTTGTGCAAGGCACCTGTGACTCCACGACACCTGTCACAACATCCATGATACAAGTAAGGCCCTTGGGGAGGGCACCTCCCAAATCTTGTCAAGAGATTTCCACCCTAGCATCCCAGGCTGTGTCAGGGACCAGGAAGGGCCAGCTGCTGCTCCCTAAGGATGGGGAGCCAGGAGCTGAGTGCAAGGCCAAAGCATCACCAGAAAGGGCCCTCTCCCACAGCATCCAAGCAGGACAGGCCCAGAGGGCGTGGCCAGCTACAGCAACAGTGCAGATCACCAGGCAAAACCAGGGTGATGAGGCAGGTGCAAGGTGAAGCCACAACAGCAGGTCAGGGTCAGGTCCAAGATGACAAGGCAGGGCCCCAGCCAGGGCAAGAAGGGTCAGCCCCCACATCAGGCTCTGGACCACCACAGCCCTGCCTCAGCTGCAAAGCAGCACTCCTCTTCATATCACCTCTACACCTCTGTTTGAACCCCCCCCCCCCAGTTTCTAGTCCATGTCCTAACACGGCAAAGGTAGCAATGCTAGGGAACACTGCTAGGAAGCTGGACTTCTTGGGAACAGTTCAGCTGTCACTACATCACACAGCCTCAAGGGCTTTAAATAGGATGCCCTGTATAGCTAGGAGTGAGCTCTGACAGATTTTTCCTGGAGAGGAAGTCTTAGTGTGTCCCAACAATTTCCAGTGCAGCCTCTGCCTTGCTGGCCACCTTCACTCTCCTCTGCAGGCCTTCATCCTTCAGTACAGTTGGGGGGCCCGGTGGAATTCAGTAGACGGGTGATGCGTGACTTGGAGCCAAGGTAGAAATGTACTCAGAAAAGGCCTACCAGTCTTCTGTGTGCAAAGCCTCCCTGCAGTGAACAGGTGCCTGCTTCCTTCATTCAGCTGTAGGAGAATGGAGGGTATTCCCCAGATCGATCATGCCTCGCATTGAAGGCGACTCTACTGCCTCCTTTCGATCTGAGCAGGATTAGCCACGAGCCAAGTGCCAGAGAGGTGCCCACGCTGCCTTGCTGAAGTGCGGGGAAGCAACAGTGCCACCTGGAGCACGCAGGAAGGCAGCGGTCTGTGGGTGCAAGCTCTGTCGGAGCACAGAAGGGATCCTGGGGATTATGAGCTTCTTAGCCAAGCTCCCCCTCTCCCCGCTGCTTAAAGCCACTGGGAAAACGGCATTTCTTCTTCTTTGGTGTCAGCCAAAGGCAGAACAGAATGCTCTGCTCTCCGGCAGCTGTTGTTTGATCCGGCCAGTGCTGCAGAAGCTGCGGGGGAAGAGAAAAGAGCAGTGTTGACGAACTGCACAAAACAACGTAGGCTGGGCTCATCAGGTGACGCTAGCACCCTGGTGCGGTGCCGGGCTGCAATGCTGCTTCTGGGAGAAGGCTTAGAGCAGAGAGAAGTAGCAGCCCTGGGTCAGACTGAAGCAGAGAGAAGTAGCAGCCCTGGGTCAGACTGACTGGGGCCTGGAGACGTGGCATGGGGAGAGCTGGGATTCAGAGGGTGAGGAAAGCCCTCCGCTACAAGAGGCCGCGCCCGTGAGGGAGGTAGCTGCAGTGGTTGTGGGGAGAACAAGCCCTGCAGAGGGGGGAGGCGGCGCGTGACTTGCCCGGCGCATTGCACCACTGTGGGAAGGGGGATAAGAATCAGGGAGCTGGCAGCCTGTGAGCATCTCCAAGACAAGCGAGCAGGGATGCCCTGGACAGAGATCCAGGAGGCCCCGGCCTGTCTGTGTGCTGCTGCGCTGATGTGAGTCCAAAAGCAGAGACTCATAACCCGTGAGCCCCGACTTTGACACCTCTGGAAGAGCTGTGGATCGGGGCCATGCAGGGCTATGGGCCCGCTGCACCCCAGGACGACCCTGTAAAGGCTTCTTTAAGCAGCCGGGGCTGTGCCTGAACCGGTCGAGGCCTGGGTGAGGGAATGGCTCCACTGGAGACTGTGGGGTCCCTGACAGGTGGAGGACAAAAAGGGGAGGCCAAGAAGGAAGCAGCAGCAGTCCCAAGCCCTGGTGCCAGAAAGACTCCCCCTCACCACACGGCCGGGGGGCCCAGGGGAAGGGCATACTTGGAGGAAGGGTGTACACGACACACACAGGACCAGAAGTCACCTTCTTGGATTGCCAGGGTCCCTCTACTCCCAGGTCAGTCAGTTAAACACGCTAAACAAAGCGTAGGAGGTGATCCGAGCCAGAGACCCCCTCTTCCAACCCCCGTACCGGCTCAGACAAGGGCCTAGAGGGGCAAATACAAGGTCTGCTAAAGCGGGGGTGATAGAAGAGGCCCCAACCTTGGCGAGCAGCCCCATCGAGCCTGTGCCTAAAAGCCACGCTGAGTGGCAGATGGGGATGGACCCGACAAGAGCGCTTGCCCGCAGGCAGCAAGAGCTCCCCTTCCCACGGCCGACATGCATCAAGTCACGCAGGGGATAAGGAACCAGGGACAGCAGTGGCTCGCTGCAATGGTCCTGTGTCACGGCGCAGAAGCAGCGGCCATAGACTAGAAACCGTGCCACTGTATTAACCAAATCAACTTTATTGTTATTACAACAGAACGACCCAGTTGGACCTAATCCTTTTGCTCCCCCTCACCGATTAGGTTCGTCTGGATGCTGGCTGAGCGGACTCTTGTAGCTGCAAAAGGCTAATATAAGTTATAACAAGATGATACCAGTGTAATATTTAACAAGCAGACAATTGCAACAGCTATAATTCCACAACCCGCTGTCCTAAGTATATACCCAATATAACTCCCAGACCAACCCACCAAGACAATTCTGTGCAAATCCTTATTTCGCGGGAAGAGAACGCTAAATTAAACAGAAGAGAGAGAAGCTCGAGCGAAAGATGGAGAGGGGGGAAGGGAAGGACGGGAGAGCCCCAGCCCCACTACACCGGCGGTGATATTTGTGGGACGGCGTGTGCCTAAGCACCCCAGTCACTCGGGTGAGAGCGGGTCGCCCGGCCTCTCGCCTGACCAGGCTGCCGTACGCTGAGCAGGCGTCCCTGCCAGCGGGGAGTCCTGTCGGGGTTCTCAGGCTGGCTGTGAAGCAGGTCCTCGCCTTCACTCACGCTCCTTTCCCTGGCCTTCACCTCTGCTCCCCATGGAGTTTGGGCGGAGCCTCCTTCCATGGAGCAAGGGGGAGTGCCTGGGACTGCGGTCATACACCCCTTATATGGCAAAAGGCCTAGAAGTTTCTGGCCTCCTCCAGGCTGTTCCAGGACCCTCGATGTTGATGGACAGCTGAGGTTTCAGCTCCACGTGCTCTTGGCTGTGGCTCCAGCCAATCCAGTCGCTGTCTCCAGGGCGGGCTTTGGCTGGATGCCCGCAAAAGTTCTGTGGGCTTTTGCAGTGACAAAGGTGCACCACAGCCTAGCACCCTGCTGCTTTGCTCTCCCGCTGTCTTCCGAGTCCAAAAAGATTTCTACCTTTACATATAACGGAAAGCTGTCTTGCTTTGCCCGGTTTCCTCCTTCTCCAGCAAGAGCCCCTTGCGGTGTGAGAAAAATGCTGGAAGGACTAGGGAAGGCACAGCCAGCTCCGCGGGTGACAGCTTAACTATGGGAAGCAGTGGATCAGAGCGGCAAGAACGAGGGGCTGTCAAGGACACAGCAGTTGGCAACGAAAGGAGGCAGCACAGGCACACCAACTAGCACATCATGACCGCTGTTAAGATCTTGCATTTGCGGCTGGGGAGTTAGAGGTGCCACGCAGAGTCCTCTTTGGCGGGTACCGCGTCACCGTGCACCCTGAATCGGTACACGCACGTGTATTCCGGGTGGCCCCAGTTGCTCAGCACCTTCAGCTTCACGTACTGTATGAAGTCAGAGCGTTCGTTCTGAAACGAGAAGAGCAGAGCTGTCTTCTCCTGCCTGTCCTGCGACTACTTGGAGCTTCTCCCCAGCCAACAACACTTGCCCTCCTGCTCTCCCGCAGTTCCCATGCCTCTTCTTCAGCGTACCTGCAGCTGGAAAGTCTGAAAGGGATGCTCTGCAGCCACGTACGTGAACTCTCCCAGGAACGTGCCCTGCTCCTCACTTTCTGCCTTCATCCCCTACAGAAAGACGGGGTGGAGAAAACAAGAGCGGGAGGTACGCAGCCAGGAGACTCAGCTTCCACAGGGCTACTAAGGAAGAGGCCAGAATTCGGCCTAGGAGAGAGCGCTGGGAACGCCACCTGTGGGTGCGCAGCACAGAGAACTGGGAGCAACGAGCACAAAGCAAGTAAGGGCCGGTTGGTTATTTGGGAGGAGTCGTGCCAGAGCCAGTGGGCCACCTCCTGTAACTCAGGCCTCCTTTAGTACCACGTGGCCCCAGGCAGGGGAAGCTTCACTTTGGCTGCACCCCAGAAAGCAAAGGAGCGTAAGGGAAACGGAGTCGCTCCAAGGAATTTCTTTCTCCTCCAGGCTCGGAGGAAGTCGCAGGCCTCAGAGAATCCTGCCGGCATTGCGGGACCTGTGCTCACCCGCCTGCCCGCCCGCCCCCACCCTGCACCGCTTAAGAACACTCTTCCAAACCCCCCAACTCTAGACTAGAGACCACTTACATAGACAGCAAAGTCCCTGGGAGCACTGGAGATGTTTTCTCCAGGGGACACTCTCACAGAAATATGCTCCAGGGTCACCGCTTGCGGGAAGATGGCTCTAGGCAGCTTGATCACCACATGACCCTGACTGCCGGGGAAAGACCAGCAGTTTCCTGCGTGATTTTCCGGCTGAAAGAACAACAACAATGCACCCTGTTCATGTGGCAAAGGCAAACTCCCAAGAGCGGGCTTGGTCCCCCCCGCCACCTTGGTTGCTCTCTGCTCTCTGCTTCTCGGGGTCCCTACCTCCAGAATCACCTCAGGAGACTTCATGGAGTGCAGCAGGGGCAGCCCAGCCCAGAAGAGTCTCCCTCTGGTATTCCGCAAGGAGCCAGAAGTCTTGGAGTGCATGACGGTAGCCCCTGGAAATTACACCATGAATGCCCCGATCACGTCCTGTCTTCCCTGGACGACTGCATCTGCTTAGAAGGCTGTAAGCTCTCCAGAGGAGGCCATCAACCACCTAGGCTGTGGACCTCTCTTCAAACAAGCAACCCACTGCCTTGGCACAGTTCTTCCCGTTCCTGACAGGGATGAATACCGGGCAGACTCCGAAAGAAAAGCCTTTGCTGAACAACCTCCTGCGATGGGAACGGTCACAGCCCCGCTACCTCCCTCCTTTCCCTCCACTGTTACTTCCATGGCTTCCCTTTAGTGCTCCCCTGGGAGCAATCCAGGGCTGCGGACGTAGCTGTGCCCTAACAAACGCTGCCACCGTCATGCCTCTCCCCCCTGCCCTGTCAGCCTGAAAAACACTACTAAGCGTTACTACATCTCAGCGGTGGATTCACCTCTGTCTTACTTGCATGAGCTGCCTGGCACCCACAGCGGTGACTCATTAAGCTACGCTCATGCGGCATGGAAAACGAAGTCTAACATAGCCATTACCATAGACAGGAGGCGCCCTGTCTTGGTTGTGCGTGTGCTGGAGGCGCACCTGATGATTTGCGGGCATAATCGGGCATCCCGACTTGGTTGTATTCCAGCTTCTCCAGTGCTTCATCAATTAGCTTCTGAACATCCTGGGAAGGAACGCAAAAGAGAGCGGCTCATACAGAGGCAAAGAGGCACATCCCAGCCACCCTGCTAGGCCAGCTAAGGTGAACTCAGGTGTGCCACTCTGGCCCGAGGAACTGGTGGATTCCCTGAAAAGCTCCCAGGTTGCTTGGCTCTCATTGACCAGCATCGGAACAGCGGGGCTGCTCACTCCCGCGCTCGGGAAGCTGAAGCTACGGGAATGCGTTCCTTCCACAGGTGAGAGGAGGGTGAGCTGAAGGCAAGTGACATTCCCTTGGTGGCCGGCCCTTTGTTGCCCTCCAAGCAGTGTGGAGCCACAGGAAAAGGAACTGCAGAGACCCGCAACGCTTGCTGCAGCAGCACAAGCCTTTTTGTTAGCTCTGCCAGGGAATTCTACTGGGACACGTGCTGCGGTTAGGAAAAAAGTCTCTGTGGGGAGCCTTCTGCAATGTCCTCTTACCCATCCGGTCATGCCCGGGAGCTCAGCCTGCTTGAGGGCTTCGCTGAGAGCCCGCCGCGCAATGTCCTTTGTGCTCCATCTCAGAACGTGCAGGTCTTCCTGCAGCTCACGCAGCTGTCCTTGGAGGGCTTGGATTTCATGGAGTGTTGCTCCTAACACCTCCTCTGCTTGCCTAGAAAAAGTGTGCCACAGACACCCCTGTTCTTGCGGTGTCTATGTGCACAGTCATTTAGGGAGAAGGCTTGCAGCTCCCAGGCAGTGATGCACTTGCTTAGGGAGACGCTGGGAGAGAGCTCTCCTGCATCACTGGTAGCCATGAGTCCTGGCTGACTTCCCTGTGCTTGGTTTGCAGTAGTGCTGCTTTCAGGCTTTTTCGTTCACCTTGCTCTTGCTCCCTCACCGCCTTGTTGGCCAAACAGGTTACTCGGTTTGGCTAGCCTCTTCCGCCTTCTCCCTGGGTCCCCAAGGGCCTCCCACCTCTTGCTCGAGAAATACACCTCTGCGCCCCCTCTCTGCTCGGTAGGAGCCGTGCCTCAGGCCTTGCAGCCTGCCCAGCTGGCAGGGTCTTCCCAGGCAACTGCTACGACCCTGCCCCCAGCCTCTGAGGCGGCTCTGCTTCCGTTGGCCTCTCCTCTGCATTGAGGGGAAGATGCTGCTGCAAGGGCCTTCTGCTCTGGCCCAGCACTGGGAAGCAACCAGACATGTCTCCCAGCAGCTGCTCCCGAGCATGGAGTCAGGGAAGCAGATGCCCCTTCTCAAGCAGCACAAAGGGGCAGCTTCCCACAGCCCAGGCCTAGCTGCCGGCCTCACAGAGGCCTTGCTCCAGGCCTCTAAGGGGCATCGAGACAGAGCTGACCACTACGGAGAAAGGAAAGGGGGAAAGGGAGACAGGGCAGTGGGAAAAGCTCTTAGGGAGAGTTCCTAGAGGGAACTGTGCGGTGGGAAGTTAGCGTGAGACGGGACGGCAGCTCCTCTAAAGCATCATCTAGTCAAGAGGACATTGTTTTTACCGCTGTGTCTTCACATCCACGCCCGAGAGAGGAAACTCCTCCTGTAAGGACAAGGAAGGGAACATGCAGTCCAAGGGCTAACAGGCCTGCTGCAGAAATGAAGGCGAGGGACAACGGTGTGGTCTCTGCAGCAACGGGAAGCAAACAGGTGCACACCCCATGCCTCCGGGGACGCTGGTACTGCACTCTCATGCCCTGGGAAGTTATCACGCTAGACTGCCAGGCGAGGGAGAACGCAGTTCACACTGGCCACTGTGTTCTTTGAGAAGCAGCTGGTCTTTGACGTTTCCTTGAATTAAACGGATCGATTCTTAAAAGCCTGAAAAAGCCTTCTCCCATTTCTCGGCCGTTGACTGGACAGGTCAAGAGATGCCGACACCCCATTCTGCCTAGGCCTTGAACTCCCTCTGTTCCTAGAGAGCTGGGCTATTACCGCACTGGCTACTGCTCCATGTCCAAGTGTGCTTTCGTTACAGTTCCTTTCTCAAGACCACCAGGAAAGGCCCTAAGCAAGCAACTCCATAGTAATAATTAGGCACACACGCCCACATATTTTGGTGGTTGCTGCGTTGAACGGCTGCGCACGGAGTGAGCCAGGCTTGAGACACTCAAGATTTCCAAAGCAGCCCAGCGCTCGGTGGAAACCTACAGACCCACGTCTGCGGAACAGCAGTGCTTTTTCGGCTGCCTGCTCTACCACGAGCTGTTAAGGCACTGGAGTTTGGACCAGTTGACCCGCACCTGAGAGACCTGGCCACGTGGCTCGCGGACCTAGCCCTCGCCCCGGAAAGCAAGGGACTTGTGACAAAGCCGCACTTTAAGCCCTTGAGTTAAGGCTGGCAGAAGCAGTCTGGATTTGAGGCAATCCGCATGTCATCTGCTGACAGACGGGGTTAAAATAGGAGACGATGTAGGCCCTCGACGCTGCTGTGGTCCTCCAGAGGCTTCCTTCTTCAAGCAGCCCCACGTGGTAAACACCTGTTAGTCACAAGCAAAGCTCCCTTTACACCTTGGACTTGTTCATGCCAGAAGAGATGTGTTCCAGGCGTGCTCCCATCCTTCAGGCATGCTGACACCCAGCTGATGTCACAAAGCTTGGAGTGAGTTGGTGTGCCACCAAAAGACAGGCTGCAAGCACTTTGGAGGCTGGAGACGACTTGGGAAGGGGGACAAGCCAACCCTGGGCATCTGCCGGGCTTTTGTAGCGCTTCATGAAACCTCATCCAGCTGCCTGCCTCCACAGGGCTGCCTGCTCTGCTCTGCGGGTCGGGCACACATGCCATCAGTGTCTCTCCTCTCCTCGCCAAGAGACAATGAGGCAACAGGGGCCTCTGAAGAGATGAAGATCCCTTCCCCAAGACATGCTCCTTCCTCCTGAAGGAAGCTTCTCCACCTCCGGGGGGAGCAGGCTCGCCACTGTCTCTCCCCCGGCCTAG